GACTAGAGATCAACACTGGACCAGAGGTCCATACTAGACTAGAGATCCATACCAGACCAGAGGTCAAGATTGGACCAGAGGTCCATACTGGGTCAGTGATCAGTCTTGGACCAATAGTTCATACTGGACCAATGGTCAAGACCGGACCAGAGGTCAATACTGGACCAGAGGTCCATACTGGACCAGAGGTCAAGACTGGACCAGAGATCCATACTGGACCAGTGATCAGTACTGGACCAATGGTCAAAGAAAGCATTCCGTAAAGCGGGGTGGACCCTGTAATGGTTTAGTCGTAATGTCTTTTTCATTGTCTTGCAGAACCAGCGGGCTCCTACATGTGAGTACTTGCTGCTCAGAGTATCTGGTGTCAGTATTGATCATCTTTATTCATTAACATGTACAAATACACAATGACTAACAATGTCAATATTTATATTAATATGCACTTTACTCATAATCTGTTCTTTTAGTTAAACATCTAAAATACTGCACACGATGTTAGACGTGGCCTGAAGTTCAGGGACTTTGGAAAACCTCTGTCCTGATGCTGCTGCACTCTTTGAAGGTCTTTACAGGATGAACGTTTAAGCTTAAGCTGTTTATCTTTAAAGCTGAAACAACATAAAGAGCCAAAACGAGTGGTAAGACAGAGTCATGGCTGCCTTGTCTGTGTGTCCCTGAGATGGACCGAGGACTTGTCCAAGATGTCCTCCACCTCTTGAACAGCTGGAGACAGCAATGAACGGACGGATGTTTCATTTATTTATGGCACTTAATCAATGAGCTCATTCAGCCACAAACAGGACATCTAAACTTCCACCTTGGAAAAGACAAAACTTAATAAAAGAATAATTCAGGTGCTCGCCACATTTCGTCTTTTCGACTCCCGTCGCAGAGCAAGAGAGGGAACTGGAAACGCCCAGCGTCCATTCGTGTTGTGAGCACGAACACTTCAAAAATAAATGCCGACTTCCACGTAGGTGTGTGGCTGCAGCCAGGTGTAAGAAAGGTCACCATAATGGGGTGGCCACGTCTAAATCTAAGATGGCCGCCACCATAAATATATGTAAACCAACCACACTGATCATTTGAGGAAACTCTGCTTTCTAGTTTTTATGTTGCCTGAAAGTGTGGTTTCCTCAACTGATTGGGGTGGCCAAAGATTAATGTATGAGGGCCAAGGCCACCATTAACCCCCCGGGGCTCCTCTTCTGCTCCTGGTGGTGATAAAATGTCTCCTCCTCTCCAGGATCTGTCCCTCTGGAATAAAAAACTTTTTCTCCTCCACTTGAACATGGAAAAATATTTGGGTTTAGAAAAACACTCGTCTCCAGATCTGCTCAGATCCTCCGAGTCCGGGGACATCAGAGCTTCAAAATGTCAAAGATGTTTTTTTATTATTGGTAGTGACTTCAGACACCTGAAAACATGATCCCAAAGAAAATGGAACTAATATTTTTAAACGATGTTAATAATTTTTAGCATCTTTATCCAGACGTCACCGAGGTTAGCAACTTCTTAAAGCTAGCTAGCTTTTTAACTTCGGTAACTCCTGCCGCGAACAAAACTCTGCTAATCCCTCGCTTCTGTCGTAAAGTTAATTTTCTGCCTGTAAATAAGCTAATTATCGATAATCTATAATCTAAGCTAGTTTTTCTGAGTGTGTATTTTGTGCTGCTAACCGTTGCTAACTGTTAACCATGTGCTTTCATGCTAACGTTAGCCTCGAGAGGTTCAGTGTTTGTTGCAGACACTCAGGACTGTTTCTGTCCAACAGGTCCATGACGAACTCCAAGGAGAAGGACAAGTCAGTACAAACACCTCACATGTTCTGGATCCTTCGATGTTTTCACTGAGCTCATTTTAAAATAAACGTTTTTCTGTTCCCAGCAGAGTTCGGCGAGACTCCGAGCAGCCGGCGATCAGAGTCGGCTTCTTTCAGCTGGTAAAAACGAGTTTTAAAGTTCGTGCCGTGGACGAGCCGTCCCCGTCTCATCGCCTGTGTTCTGGTTCTGGTCCAGTTCCGGTTTGCCACCTGTAAGGACCTGTTGATGATGGCGGCCGGCAGCCTCTGCGCGGTCCTGCACGGCTCGGCCCAGCCCCTCATGCTGCTGGTGTTCGGCCTGCTCACCGACACCTTCATCGACTACGACATGGAGCTGAACGAGCTGAGCGACGAGCGCAAGGAGTGCGTGAACAACACCATCCGCTGGAAGAGGAACTCCACCGGAGCCCGGGACCTGGACCCATCGGTGCTGGGCCTCCTGGACAACTCCACGCTGGAGACGCTCGCCCCGCTGGGCAACAGGTCGTGTGGGTAAGAACCCCCCGAGGTGGCTTCTTTCATGTTTGGAGTAACTTGTGCTTTTGAAGTCCTCGTCTCATGAACTGAGTCGTCTTCAGGCTCCTGGACATCGAACACGAGATGACCCTGTTCGCCTTCTACTACGTCGGGATTGGACTCTCTGTCTTCCTGCTGGGGTACCTTCAGGTTTGTCCCGCCACCTACCTAAAAACACACCAAAGCACGTATGACCGCTTAGCTCAAAATATTACACAGTACTATAGTTAATCATTTCTTATCTGGCAACCCGACTGACATGGAAACTATAGCGCTTTCATGTAAACCCACTCATTTTTTTATTTATTGCTCCAACAATCACTGAAAAAACACTAAAGTTTCACTTTGACTTGGTCATTTTAAAAGGAGCTGCGTGATGAAAAGGTCTGGCCATCGCTGGTTTAACAGGACGGAGGTTAAAACCCTTGACGCTCAACCGACGAGCTCTTTCCCTGCACCACGAGGTCTTCTGCAAGCAGCTGACTGCGTTTGTCAGCGGCTGTGAAGACTCCATTTACCAACCCGGAGCAATTAATTAATTAATTAGTTAAATCAACTAATGTAATTAATCACTAATTGTTGATCATCATCTGTTAATTGATATTAAAAATTAATCAAATCAATTAACTAATTAATTTAATTAACTGATTAATCATAAATGTAATTAATTTATGAATATAATTAATTAAACTAATAAATTAATTAATTAAACTAAATTAATCACGATTAATTACCTAATTATTTAATTGAATTAATTAATTACAATCAATCAATCAATTAAACTAATTAATTAAATACTTAAAATTAATTAATTAATTACACTAAATTAAACAATTAATTAAAATAATTAATTAAACCAATTAATTAATTTAAAGTTCTTAAGCAGCTGCAGGTTCAGAACATATTCCAGGACTTCCAGGGGAAACATCTGACGCCGACTCCGTTGAATTTCAGGCTGTTGTCAGCCGGCGCAGAGGAGAACTGATAACACGCCCGAGCAGGCGGATAACGGGAGCAGCCCGAGGCCAGACGCGCCGTTTCCTTAAAGATCATCTTTCAGCCAAATCAACGAGCAGCCGCGTTTTATTCACCGTATGAAATAACCGATTTAAAGTCACGTTGCTGCCGTCAAACAATCTGCAGCGGCTTCATTAAACACATGAAGCCGCTCAGGTTTAGAGACGCGCTTCTTCAGTCTGAAGGACCTAAAATGTGTCGAGGTGCATAGTCTCCGGGCGAAACGGTAAAAATAAATCACAGCTCGGCTCAAACCTCGGTCTGAGCGGCACAACTCTTTCCTCCACCGCTTCTTAAAAACATTTTAAAGTGAAGGTTTGTCACATGTTGATACGTTTTTAGCTGTGACATCAGGGTTTGATTATGGAGGAAGAGGCACACGTCTTCATCCAGGCTAGGCTAACGGCTAGCTAAACACGGGTCAGATTTATTCCGTTTTTCAGGTTTATGAACTCGTAAACAGCCTTAAGTGGTCTGAGCTCACTCAAAGTTTTTACTGTCTGATTCACAATAACAAAAACAAGATGGTTTAGTGTAAAAATAACAACGGCTTTATTTCTCATTCCCACGAGGCGGGAAAACTGAGTCAACTAAAAACAGGAGGGGGCGGGGCTTAATTTGACCTTTTCATTTTTGTCAATAAGAAATATTAATATAAAAATACTTCACGGTTTTGTCTTATTGCTAAGTCAGAAGGAAAACAAGTTTTCACTCCGACTTCCACTGGTCTGAACGCCATTTTAAGTTTGGCTAGCTTTAGCCTAGCCTGGACGAAGACCTTCTCCGTGCTCCGCGGCTGACAAGATGCTAATTACTGATCACCGTTTGACAGAAAATCCCTTTAAATATCCAGCCTCCTGCTGCCCTTGGGTCAAATGAAACTTGAAGGGCAGCAGGAGGGTTAGACAGCAGGAACAGAGAATCAAACCGTCTTTGTTCTTCACGAGGCTCTCTGGTCATGCAGCGAGGTGGCCTCGTTAAATTTAAAATGTTAATTTGTACCGTCGTGTTCATCCGATCTGAATCAGACGAGATAATTTCCTGCTGCCCTCCAGGCTTTAACTCCAACGTTATAAGTGTGACCCTCAGATCTCCATGTGGGTGACGGCGGCGGCCCGGCAGGTCCAGCTCGTCAGGAAGATGTACTTCAGCAAAGTGATGCGGATGGAGATCGGCTGGTTCGACTGCACCTCCGTGGGAGAGCTCAACACCCGCATGTCTGAGTGAGTGGACACAAGATGAGCTGAGGCCGAGGTTTTGGCTCCTCTGAGGTTATGGCTGTTCTGGGGTTTTGGCTGTTCTGAGATTTCAGCTGTTCTGAGGTTTTGACTGTTCTGAGGTTTTGACTGTTCTGAGGTTATGGCTCTTCTGAGTTTTCAGCTGTTCTGAGGTTTCCCTGTCTGAGGTTACGGCTGTTCTGGGGTTTTGGCTGTTCTGAGGTTTCAGCTGTTCTGAGGTTTTGACTGTTCTGAGGTTTTGGCTGTTCTGAGGTTACGGCTCTTCTGAGTTTTCAGCTGTTCTGAGGTTTCAGCTGTTCTGAGGTTTTGACTGTTCTGAGGTTTTGGCTGTTCTGAGGTTACGGCCATTCTGAGGTTTCAGCTGTTCTGAGGTTTCGCTGTTCTGAGGTTACGACTCTTCTGAAGTTTCAGCTCTTCTGAGGTATCGGCTGTTCTGAGGTTTTGCTGTTCTGAGATTTAGGCTATTCTGAGGTTACAGCTATTCTGAGGTTTCAGCTGTTATGAGGTTACGGCTCTTCTGAAGATTCGGCTCTTCTGAGGTATCGCTGTTCTGAGCTTTCGGCTCTTCTGAGGTTACAAATTTTCTGAGGTTTTGGCTCTTCTGAGGTTACAGCTGTTCTGAGGTTTCAGCTCTTCTTAGGTTACAAATTTTCTGAGGTTTTGGCTCTTCTGAGGTTACAGCTATTCTGAGGTTTCAGCTGTTATGAGGTTACGGCTCTTCTGAAGTTTCGGCTCTTCTGAGGTATCTGCTGTTCTGAGCTTTCGGCTCTTCTGAGGTTACAAATTTTCTGAGGTTTTGACTTTTCTGAGGTTACAGCTGTTCTGAGGTTTCAGCTGTTCTGAGGTTTTGACTATTCTGAGGTTTAAGCTCTTCTGAGGTTACGGCTCTTCTGAGGTTACGGCTTTTCTGAGGTTTCGGCTCTTCTAAGGTTTCGGCTGTTTTGTTACAGCGACATCAACAAGATCAACGACGCCATGGCCGACCAGGTGGCCATCTTTGTGCAGCGCTTCACCACCTTTGTGTGCGGCTTCTGCGTTGGCTTCGTTAAAGGCTGGAAGCTGACGCTGGTCATCATTGCCGCCAGTCCTCTGATTGGAGTTGGAGCCGGACTCATGGCTCTGGTAAGACCTGACTTTCATCGGTGAAGGTTGAACTCGTTTAAAACTAACTTGAGTTTATTTCAGGTTTAGGATTGGAGGATCTGCTGTTAGCTTGAGCCTGACTTTGTGGACGTTCACATGAACAGCTTTGGGCTACAAATTCAGCACATTTGAACGTAAATTTTTATGTAATCTTTATTTTATATAAAATATTTTCAGAGTAGTTTTTCTTCTTTTTTACAAATTTTACTTAATTTCTGTAAATTTCTGTTCAGATGAACTTTAAATTTTTCAGTTCATCAGGATCCATTCATCCAATCAGAGTATTTTAAACTTTGGTCTCCAGGCAGAAATGTGTTTGAAGCTGCTTCCTGATTGGTCAGGACTTCAGTGTCAGCAGAGAAGGCGGAGCTCATCAGAGGCTCTGCAGGAGGAGCTTGTTCAATGATTGACAGTAACATTAACCTATCACAATGCTGATGTAGAGTGGGCGGTGCCAAAACACAGGGCTCTGAGCCTTCAGGAAGGCTCTGAAAGTGTGTTTTTTTTTGGTGAAGATTTGTGATGCATTCAATTGTAACCCATAAAGAAAAAAGAAAAAAATCACACTAAAAATGTAGTTGCTCTAAAAATGAAGTTTAAATATCCCATTAAGGTCAACTGATATTTAGTTTAATTACATGATGAAATGTTACAGAAACAGGGAGTTCTGTGGATTCCTGTTAAACTTCAGCCTTAAGGACTGAAATGACGTGTTGTACTTGAACACAGGAGGCTGGGTGAGCCTCAGGGGCTGCTGGGTAATCTTGGGACGGAAATGAGTGGACTCTTTCAGGTTCTATATTCAGACAGGTCGTCCCTGTTGGTTCTGTTTGAGTTCTGGCCTGATGATGTTGATCTTCTGTGCTGGGCCATCCTTTTGGCCAGTGGCTGTTTAGTTTCCCCGATTTAAGACTGATCACCCTCCTGACACTGAACAGCATACACAACATTGCTCTGTTTGTGCCGGGGGACTGGATCTTTGGGATGAACCAGTCTTTGCCGTATTTTGGGGTTTAAAAGCCACTGGGACGTTATGTTTAGAAAATAAACGTCTCAGTTTCTCTGATACTCCCTCAACATATGGAATGACCACTGGTCTGGGTCTGGGTTCCTCCTTTTCACCTGTTGGCTGACTGGAGTCCTGTTTGGGTTTCTTCTCTGCTTTCAGGAAGGCCCAGTTAGGATATCCACATTGCTCTAGAGCCTGTCTTGTGTGGGATTTCTCCTTCTGCCTGGCTCCTGAGCTAGTGGGGACGCTGTCTGCTCTGTGGTACAGAGTCCTGATGACTCCTAACTTTCCTTTGGACTAAAGATGAAACGTTTCAACAAGAAGAATCCGTCCAGAGGACCTAAATTGACTGTGTTAGATTTATCTTCCTGGGTTGTTGATCAGCATCAGGACGTCTTGAATCATGTTGGGGATGACTCTGTTACTACCACACCAGAGCTTAGCCTCATGTCTGTAACATCGACTGGGTTATAACCATTTATGTATTTTGTAAAGTTAGGGTTAGGGTTTGTATTTTGTAAGGTTAGGGTTAGGGTTTGTATTTTGTAAGGTTAGGGTTAGGGTTTGTATTTTGTAAGGTTAGGGTTAGGGTTTGTATTTTGTAAGGTTAGGGTTAGGGTTTGTATTTTGTAAGGTCAGTTGACTCCAGAACTTATTTAGCTGTAAACGTACAAAACATCCAGTAGTTGTCTGTTTCTCTGGTTATTTAGTTCATGCATGTTTTATTCCTTGTGTTTTGGTTCAGCTCAGCCTCCTCAGTTGTTCTTCAGTCAGTTACCACTCACACCTGGTTCCAATTAATAATCACTCCAGTGCCGTCACCTTCTGAACGTTTTAAACTATCTCCAATCGCCACTCCAACAGCGCTTCATCATCCTGGCTACCAGCCACATGTCTCTGTCCTCCTTGTGCTCTTCTGTATTTTGTAAGTTTTGTTTCTTAGTAAATTAGTTTTTTTTTATTTATTTGGGCCTTCATGTCTGGGTCCAACCCCATACGACCATGACAATGATTCCTTTCTGACTTACTGGAAAGACCTTGTCCGATCACTGTGTACAATGTTTCATTGAAATCCTTGACTGGTTCCTGAGACATTTAGTGGAAAAGGACAAACACTGATGCCTTTCAACAGAGTGACAAAAACAAACTCAGAAAAACAATCAGTAAACTCTACGAGCTCTGGAGCTACCAGGAACTCCCACCTCCGCTGACCCTAAATGTAAATTCTGGAACACAGAAGACAGTAACGGGGACTCCCAAGTTAAAAGGTAAACAGTTTCCAGACTCACCACCAGGGTTTTACTTTCAGTTCGTGGCAAAGCTAACGGGGATGGAGCTGCAGGCCTACGCTAAGGCCGGCGCCGTGGCCGATGAAGTCCTCTCCTCCATCAGAACCGTCGCTGCCTTTGGGGGAGAGAAGAAGGAGGTGGACAGGTATGATGCAGCGATAGCTGAAAATGATTCATATCAAACCGTTTATTGATCGTTTATCGTGTTATGGAGGTATGACAAGAACCTGAACTGGGCTCAACGATGGGGCATCAGGAAGGGTCTGATCATGGGCTTCTTCACCGGGTACATGTGGCTGATCATCTTCCTGTGCTACGCCCTGGCCTTCTGGTATGGCTCCACTCTGGTCATTGACACCGAGGAGTACACACCTGGAACGCTGCTGCAGGTAACACCTGTGGAAACAACACGCCACACTCCGTTTCATTTACCAAACGACTGTTCGTATTTCCTCGTTTTTATTCCAGGTGTTTTTCGGCGTTCTGGTGGCGGCCATGAATCTGGGGCAGGCCTCCCCATGTCTGGAGGCTTTTGCAGCCGGCCGCGGAGCTGCTACCATCATATTCGAGACCATTGACAGGGTGCGGCCATGGGGTGGACGATCCAGCAGCAAGATCAGGGTTTTAATGTCTTATTGATATTCATCTCTTTCTAAACGTGTCCCTGCCAGGAGCCGGAGATCGACTGTTTGTCTGAGGCCGGGTACAAGCTGGACCGGGTCAAAGGAGACATCGAGTTCCACAACGTGACCTTCTACTACCCATCCAGACCAGAAGTTAAAGTACTCGAGCGCTTCCATCGTCATATACGCCGACATAAGATGTTTTCTCTGAGTTCTGCCTGCCTCCTTGTTTTGTGACTGTTTTTGACCTAAAGAACGGCTCCAGATGGGATTTTAGTTGGTTTCCTTGTAAAATTTGACTTGGCTGGTCAGAAACAATCAGAATCAGAATAAGCTTTATTATAATTGCATCAAAATACAGTGAAATTATGTTTGTACAGTAATCCGAAAGATGGGCGGAGTGCACGTTGCTGCTGAGAGCGTGGCCCCTTATTCTTTTTAGATAGAAAAGGGGAAAAGGCCATGAGGAGAGAATAGTGGTATTACAAAAAATATCTCGTCCTTATCAGGACATGATTTAAGACATAAAAAATAATTCTACCAGCAGCACATTTATGAACACATTGCATGCATTTGATGGCAAGATGGTGAGATTTGTCCATGAAGCACTTCCAGATAGTCCATAGTCCTGATAAGATGTTGGTGTCAGCCGATACAGCTCTGATAAGCATTCACAGAAGTTCTCGGGGGGGAGGGGGGGTTGCGATAGACAGAGCTTTTCCTTAGTTTACAGATATCCCAGGAGAAATTTGGTAAGTCAGCCTGCTTCGAGGCCACACGGGGGAGTCAGATTCAGATAAGCCACAATTAATTTTCTTCTGGCAGACTGTTTTTTTCTCGCCAGCCTTGCTGGTACTTTAGATCCAAAATGGCCAGATTTGTGGGCATTCCACTGGTCCGTGCTCATGAGCCCCCTCCAAGGTTGTCCCCAACATTCTGGCGAGTCCCAAAGCCGCAGGTGGCTTGTGATTTTCACAAATCGCTTCTATCTTACGGTTTAGCTCGTAAATTAGCTGATTTTGAGTACTCGAAACATGAACCAAACTTTCACACAGACTTGGCAGTTTTGTCATGGCTGAAACTTCTGCCACCGTCTTCTTTAGTAGCCGATAACATAGGAATCCGCTGATACCAGAATGCTGAAACCCTGCTATCATGAATCTGATTATATAAACATCTTCAGTGTCCTCCTGAGACAAAACAGAAAGACACATCAGCTCCCAACCTCCCCATGGATCCATGACGTATCCTGGCGTGTGAGTATCAGCGGGGCATATGGGCTCTCCAGGACCCTGTTGCTTTTTTAAAAAGATTTTATCGATTGCATTGAAAGTCCAGCTCACCAGATCCATGACAGTAGTTTTTGTTTTGGAAGATGTGTAAATAGGAGCTCCGATACACAAGATAAAGAGCATAAATGCAGGAGGAGGACAGGAGAGCAGGAGGAGGTAAAAGCGTCCACCTTGCACGAGAGCGAGTGAGAAAAAAAAACAATACGTTGCTGTCCCGACACTTTACTGTTTGATGGTACATTTTAACAGCGGTTAGCGTTTGCACCCTTTGTTTAAACTGGCCCAAACCACAGAACACGATGCTGACAACTGACTTCTAGTTTTCTTGTGACGTCACAGATTCTTGTTATGAACAGATTTAGGACAGGGCGCTGGATAAACTCTAGAAGCTGGGCAGAGACGTGTAGTATTGAGTATTTTTCTGAAACCAGTGATTGATACAGAACATCTGTCACAGTTGCAGTAACCCTAACACTGACCTGGACGACTTTGTGGAAACAGAACGATCTGTTTCCAGAACCTTCATCGTGGTGTCACGGCCTCTCTGTGCTCAGATTCTGGACCAGCTCAGTGTCGCAGTGAAGTCCGGAGAGACCACAGCCTTCGTGGGTCCGAGCGGAGCCGGGAAGAGTTCTGCCATTCAGCTCATCCAGCGCTTCTACGACCCTAAAGAGGGCATGGTGGGTGTCTGGAGGTTCCTCTGTCAGCCGTCCTGACGATGTTCTCAGTACTTTATCTCCTCCCTCCTCTTCAGCTCTCAGAAATAACCATCCCTCGAGGATGATGGAGGTGCACAATAATCTGTTTCATTATTCAGCTAATGGGTCCTAACAGCCTCATTTTTCAATTTTACTGGAATTACAGATTTTTTTCATCCTCTCAGAAAAGTAACAGCCCCTCGTTGCTCCCTGAAGGTTCTCCATGAGTTTACAGACCGAACCACCAAATAGCAGGTTGCTTTAAAAGCATCATTTAAATTTAAGTTAATTTATTTTAATTCAGTTTATTTCTGTAGCTCCAAGTCCCAACATGAGTTATCTCAGGTCTCTGAACAGAAACATTCACAGACATTAAAAAAGACGATCAGTAAAGTTCTCCATCTGAGGAAGCAGCAGATTGTGTTGAATCTTCACGTCATCACAGTCTCCCATCCTGAGCAAGCACAAAGGAGACAGTGGAAAGGAAAAACCTCCCTAAGAAACCTCCAACAGAACCAGGCTCAGGATGAGCGGACACCTGCTTAAACCGGCTGGGTTGGAGAGGACAGGAAGTAGAAACAGAGAGGACAGAATGACAGGTCCAGGTGAACTTTCTATAGTCCAAGTGTACTTTCTATAGTCCAGGTGTACTTTCTATAGTCCAAGTGTACTTTCTATAGTCTAGATGTACTTTCTATAGTCCAGGTGTACTTTCTATAGTCTAGATGTACTTTCTATAGTCCAGGTGTACTTTCTATAGTCTAGATGTACTTTCTATAGTCCAGGTGTACTTTCTATAGTCCAGGTGTACTTTCTATAGTCTAGATGTACTTTCTATAGTCCAGGTGTACTTTCTATTGTCCAGGTGTACTTTCTATAGTCTAGATGTACTTTCTATAGTCCAGGTGTACTTTCTATAGTCCAGGTGTACTTTCTATAGTCCAGGTGTACTTTCTATGGTCTATATGTACTTTCTATAGTCCAGGTGTACTTTCTATAGTCCAAGTGAACTTTCTATAGTCCAGGTGTACTTTCTATAATCTAGATGTACTTTCTATAGTCCAGGTGTACTTTCTATAGTCCAGATGTACTTTTTGTAGTCCAGGTGTACTTTTTATAGTCCAGGTGTACTTTCTATAGTCTAGATTTACTTTTTATAGTCCTAGTGTACTTTCTATAGTCCAGGTGTACTTTCTATAGTCCAGATGTACT